AAGTAAAATCCAAGCATTCAAACTTATGTTTTTGACATTTTAAAATCTAAATTATATATATATATAAAACTCTGTATTTTATCTAGCAAGTTAGGCCAGAGATAAATTTACCAAAATAATTGTTTTTTATTATGTGTCCTTGTAGTTCTAACAATATTTTGTTAGATGTTTTGAGGATATTTTTTAAAGTGCATTAAAGTATAGAATTGCTTTATGTGAGCTTCATCTTTATCACTCTGTAGTCACTCTACAACTCTAGTAAGGAATTTTGCCTTAAAGTCCATTTTGTCTAATACTAATTTAATCATATTAACACTCTTAGCCATATATGTTGTTAGAGTATTTAACTTTAAATTGCTTGAAGCTGTATCATTTATATAGCATTTGTTTTTAAATTCACTGTAGTAACATTTGTCTTGTTGTTAAATGATATCAAGTCAGCTCCAATTCATGGTGACCCTATGCACAACAGAATGAAACACTGTCATGCTCACAATTGTTCCGATAGCTGAGCCCATTAATGCAGACAATATATCAATCCACCTTGGCCTTCCACTTTTTCTCTGCCCTTCAACTTTGCCAAACACGATGTCCTTCTCCAGGGACAGGGTTCTTCTGATAATATGTCCAACAGATGTAAGACAAAGTTTGCCCTCCTTGCTCTAAGGAGCACGCTGGCCTTACTTCTTCCAACACAGATTGGTTTGTCTTTGTAGCAGTCCATGGTACTTTCAACATTCTCCTCCATCACCACAATTCAAATGCAATGATTCTTCTACAAATTGTAGCCTTCACTATGAATTGCAATTAAATGTAAGGAAGACCAATATCCTCACATCTAGACTAATAAGTAACATCATGATTAATGGGAAAAAGGTTGAAGTCGTCAATGATTTTGTCTTACTTGGATCCATAACCAATACTCATGGAAGCAGCAGTCAAGAGATTAAAAGAAGTATTGCATTAGATAAATCTGTGCACAGGACCTCTTCAGAGTATTGATGAGCAAGGATATTACTTTGAGGACTAAGGTGATTCTGACCCAAGCCATAGTGTTCTTCATTGCATCATCTGCATGTGAATATTGGACACTGAATAAGGAATACCATCGAATCTTTGTCTTAGGCTTAAATATTTGGCCTATTTACATTTGTTGAAATTAGTTAGATGTTCTGATTTATTGTTATTATTGTTTTTTTGTATTTTATTTACCCTATTCTTCTATATTTTCTATCTTCTTTCTTGCAATCTATTTCATTGATTTAATTACAGCTTTTATTTTTTCCGCTGATAATTTGAAGATAATGTGCACTATTATCTATTATTTAATGGTTATCATAGATTAATGCATTCATACTTGTATTAGACTAGATTCTCTAGAGAAGTAATACCAATGAAATGTATATATGTACATACATATATGTATATACATAGAGAGTGATGTATATCAAGAAAATGGCTCATACAATTGTAGAAATGGGCATGTTCCTAATCCATGGTCATATGTTAGTTTAGGGGCTTCTCCTGACATGGTTAGCTTCAAGAGCTAAAGAAACAGAAATAGAAACAGAGACGGTAGGATTCTGGCTACAGGGGCAAATGAAGCTAAATTTGCCAGGTAAGACAGCAAACAACTGACTATTTTCAGGATCACGAGGCAATACAGGAGGTTATTGGCTGAAGTCCAAAGAACAGGAGGTAAAAGAGCTGTCTGCAGGATCCAGAGTCAGCATAAACAAGTAGGCTCTTAAACAGTGGTTACTTATATCACAAGCAGGTCACACCCAGGAGACTTCATCATAGAGCATCTTGACTCATAACTACCAAACCACTGAAAATGCTAGCCCAGCCAAGTGAATGAAAACGTGAACTATCATACTTTTAAATTCTAAAACTAATCAATATGTATTACAGTATTTTCTAAAAATCCAAAGGCATTTTTTTTTACCAATTTAAGTTTCTTTTTTAAATTAATTAATTAATTAA